AGGCCTGTAGCGTATCAATGACGGGTGGGGTTGGTATGGGGGTTAGGGTGGGTTAGGGTGCGGAGCGCGTGCTGCCTCCCATCTTTAGGGTTTCAGTGTTGTCATGAGTTGTGCAGCAGCCACGGTTTCGTGACTGTGACGGGTGGGGTTGGTAAGGGGGTCAGGGTGGGTTAGGGTGCGGAGTCGGAGCGCGTGCTCCTCCCCACCTTGAGGGTTTCAGTGTGTACAAGGTGTTGTGCAGCAGCCACGATTTCGCGACTGGGACGGGTGGGGTTAGTATGGCGGTTAGGGTGGGTTAGGGTGCGGAGCGCGTGCTCCTCCCACCTTCGGAGTTTCAATTTGGGTCGCAGATTGGGTCAGATCATTTGCAACAGCAGCCGTCTCGCAACTCTGTGGAACGGGTATGATCACTAGCATAGGAGGTTGGGGTGCGAAGCAGCCGCACGTCAAATACTCAGCCTCTGTGATATTGCACATCTGCAATATCCGTGTGTCGTCGGGGTTTGTAGGGAATCATTGAATGTATGTTTGTAGTCTTGCACGCTTTAGTATTGCAAATATCTGGGGTTCTCATTGGAGAGCAGCTTGTTCATATGTTCAGACTTTGAAGAATAGCTAGAGACGGGCTAGAGACCTAAGCGTCTGTAGCAACTATCTACTTATATGAGGGTTCGCCCGGCTTTTGTGGTTTGAAGCATATGAGATTCTTAGGGTTCGGTTGAATAGCTGGCTTGTAGGCTTTCAGGGTTTCACGGTCTTTTAATGCAACGCCATCAATTCAACGAGCTTATATATTCGGAAATTGCGTGAACATAGGCATAAAATCCGCGCAGGCGGTTCGGGCGCCGATTGTCAGTGTCTGCCAAAACCTCCTTTCTGGCCCAGGGCCAACCGGTCAGCTGGAAATCTGCATAACCTCCCGTTTGCCTCGTAAATTACGACAGAAGTGAATTCGGTTTTGTGTCAAGTAGGTAGGAGCTTGCGTTACTTGACGTGCTTCTCCTGCACCTGCATGCAGGCTGGGGAGGCATTCTGTGGTGAACTGTGGTTCTTGTGTAGGAGGTTTTCTGGAAGGGTTTTCCTCCTTGGACGGTCGCAGGATCTGCTCACAGTATACAAGCTACAATTAGCATGGCGATCCGCAAGGGGAAAGAGTTGGAGAAGCGGCTTGAGGCTGCGGGAGACCTTCTTCCAAATGATGTCAAATCAATGCTACCGGCCAAGGTTGGAGAGTGTGTCGAAGCAGTGGCCAGATCAAAAGGTTCAAAAGGGATTGCTCTCATTGGATGGTTCCTCGATCACCGCGGTGTCGCATGCCACTGGGTTCAAGGCTGAAGTAACCTTGGCAAATCGGATGATCAACTGGACGCAGGTGCTGATCCGTTGGCACATTCTTGTTTCCCCTAGTAGCACGAACAAGAGTCCGTTGATTAAGGCGCTGAATGAGATCATGAAGGCGGTTGAGGAGCGCGGAGACCGGAAGGCGATGCACGCCGTGAAGTTCAATTTCTTTTGGTCCGGTGTAAGTTTTGACACTCTAGTCCTTTTGATCTACCTAGGCGTACTTTTAGCTAGTGCTGTCCTGCTGGGAGTTTGCTCGAGTGCTATGCCTGATTGTAAAATGCTCAAGGTCAGTTAGCATGCTAGGGGCTCCGATCCACGGTGTGTTTGGGTCAGTGGCAAATATCAGGCAATAACAGTCTGGAGAAAAGAATAGGGTTCGACATTCCAGTGGTTATTCATTTCTTGAATATTGCTCTGGCAGTTCTGTAAGCAGTTGGAGCTGCAGCACCACAAGAGAATCGTATAGCCTTTTTTCGAAGACCCCTTTGCATGGCATCATCAGTCACGCGATAATTATTACTTGAAACTGCTGGCGCTGGCCTTGCTTTCTTTTTCTCGGCATGCTGTGCGTCGATAGATGGTCATTGACGCTCCTGTCTTCTGAAAATTTTGTGCGCTCCTCTTGCTGGAAAGGCTGAACCATCTGTATGACGACCTGATGCGATCTGTGAATCTTGAGAAGTTCCTTTGTGCACCGGAGAGTGGCCTCCAGAGCGAAAACTTGGATGTGCACACCAAGCATGGACTAAGTGCCGGTGGCGGCCTGAACTTCCAAATACAGGACATCAAATAGACACCATTTTCTGTCCTTTTATAGTACATGCAATATTCAGAAACATGGCTATAGCCTATGAGCAATATGCTATGCGGCCGGCCCCAGGCCCCGGTCCGTTTGTTCAGAAATTCAGGGTTCAGATGGAACCCGAATGAAGCTGAACTGAAGCTCGGTTCAGCGGGCGCCCGGGGGCCGCCGGCCTTAGGCATCCCGGTCGACTTGTTCAGAAATTCAGGGTTCAGAAGAAACCCGAATGAAGCTGAACTGAAGCCAGGTTTAGCTTATACCCGGCGCAGAGCGGTCCGCCCCGGTCCTCTTGTTCAAATATTCAGGGTTCAGAAGGAACCCGAATGGACCTGAACTGAACCCGGTGACAAGTTCACCCTACATAATACATTGTTGGTCAGTTTTAATGTTTAACATGGTCCGGAGCTGCCGTGATTTTGCGTTTGCCTTGCCTTTTCGAAAATCGAAAAGTCAAGATAGCCCTGATTGCTACTCAGATTTAACGTTTAGCACGATTCCGGGCAGTTGCGATTTGCTTTTCGCGATGTCATTTAATCTATATCGATGGATAACTTTTAAAATACCTACCGGTAGGTATACGGCCGTCCGTACAGTGACGGTGGCCCGTGGGCTTTGTACAGCCGGCAGGGGAATGCTTGCTTCCGCCACGATAAGATCTGCGACGGTCGGGATGATCCCAGGTCCTACAGTGTTTTAGGACCGGGAATGCTCTCGGTGTAGCATAAGCTATGCTAGCCGCCGTCCTCAACCGACCGGGGAAAAACTAAGCGCGCGCGTGCGCAACCCGTCGGCCGAGCGGCCGACGGCTGTTAAACCTCTAAAACCCTGGCGCTGAGGCGTCAGCTAGTTTAGAAGACGTTACATAATTTCTTGGCGTTAGACCCTCAATTTATTGGTCGTGTTTGTTCAAAAGCAAGAGGAGGCGCCTGGCGAGGCGCCCTCTAGGGACATTTGTAGGTTTGGGGGTATTCACACTAAAGGGGCCTCCCCCGTACAAGGGCACTGAGAAGCGGCCCAGAGAGACATAGAGATGGCGCAGGGCATGGAGCCTCAGTTGGCTACCCTCATACACTTAGCAGGACCGCAAGGGCTGATCGGAGAGTACTTGCTGCATGAATTGCCCGGCTCGGGAAGAAAGCTCTGGGCTAGAGTAGTAGATGTGGATCCCGCCTCAGGAAAGTTCTGGCTAGAAGACGCAAGGGGTGAGCTTTTGCACAGACTGGTTGATAAGACGGAGCTCAGTATTGGCATGGGTACTAGGTACCCCCAAGACACGCTGCTCACCGGGCTCCGGGAATTTGGGCTGAGGCATGATATTTTTGAGGTGGCCATCCCGGGGGCTCCACCCGGGGCGCCCTTGGGTCAGATGGGGCATGCAGACCAGGCTCAGCAGCCACCTCAGGGGCAGCAGATTCCGGAACAGCAGCCAGCAAGGAGGGTCAGAATCCCTGATCCTCCAGCTGTTACGCCGGGAGCTGCGGTGATCAACGCGCTAACCCCTGGGTTTATGCGGGAAGCTGACATGGCAGGGGGAGCTGCTCGCTTAGAGAGGGCATTTAAAGAATTCGTGCAGAAGGGATCCCTGATATCCCACATGGAGGCAGCACTCAGGAAGATCCCCCGTGATTCACCGGCGTGGCACACCAAGCTTGAGCAGATGTTCGAGATTTACAAGGAGCCCGATCCAAAAGTGGCTCATCTGATGGCTGCAGTGTACTTCTACGCGAATCAAATCAACTTCGTGTCGCTCGACCTTGAATACCTAGCTGATGGATTCGTCTCCGACATGAAGTTGGCCTTGGAGGAAGCAGGGGACAGCAGTGGGTGGTCAGCAGAGACGGTGCGCAACCTGGAGAAGAAGATCAAGAAGGCTTATGAAGAGCACCGTAAAGAAGCGGCGGAGCAAGTGGGCGAGGGTCACGCACGCCCCAACGTCGTGCGCGGCGCCGGAGGCGGCGGTAACAACTTCGGCAGGTGAGAATGTCCTGCAATCTAGTCGACGAGAAAGCCTTCGATGTACGAGAATAAGAAGAGGCTCATTAGGAGTTCGTCAGGTATTGCTGAGCTAGTCAAATACGAATTCGGCAGCAACAATCTTGGAAAATTGTGGCGGCGCAGGAAAGAATTTGCCTGGATCAGGTTAGCGATTTTGGCCGTCCTGCACCTGGCCGAACGACTAGCTTGCTGGTGCTGTCGGTCAGACATTTAGCGGCATCTCCTCCCGAAGTGAGGATTGTATGAATCGAAACAAGCAGCCCGTTAAAGGGCAGGACATCCGAACGGATGATTGCCCACAATGGGCGGCCTTAAGGCCAATTATAGCACGAGAGCGAGCCGGAAATGGCAGGCGGAGGCTTAGAAAGAACGCCCTCAGATTAAGAGTTAATAAGCGGCCCCGAAGTGGCATGTTTTCGCTGACTCATTCCTCCCCGGTCAACAGGAACGGACCCGGGGGCGCCGGCAAAGGGTCCGGTTGGGGGGGCAAGCGAGGCCCTGAAGATCGCGAGCGCGATGATAGAGGAGATCGCGACAATCGCGCTCCGGCAAATAGATCAGGCCGTAGGTAAGGAGATTTGCAAGAAAACGTAGAGACACAGGAGAAACTTAAACAGAACATCCTAGGATGGAAAGGGGAGACGAGGATTTAGCAGAAAGACTGTCGGCGGACCCGGGCGAGACGTTTGAAAAGGCTCCAGTATTCTGATTCAAGACAGCCCTCTCCTTTCTCGACGAACGTAACTGACGTTATGTTACATGGCAGTCCTTCAGTCTCACGGGCCCGAGAATGGGCTCTTCATTCGGCCCATCCTTTCCTTGTGGCGCCTGCACAAGCAAAATGAATGCAATCAGTAAGATCTTTTCCTTCCGGCGAGGCGATACGTGGCCCGGCGTGCGGCGGCATTAGGATGAATTTTGCATCACATGAACGTGAATAACGATCTTATGTTGCGCTCAACTAGTAAAGGATGCAGATATGGAGATTCCTTCTGATCGACGAGAGCGCGGAGTTGACGTGCGGCCGCCAGAACGACTTATCGGAGTCGCAATTTTAACCGCGGAACTCGGTGTAAATACGCCTGCCGAACCCGGTTAATCCACGGGTTAAGTTCTCGTTAGACGCCGCAGATTACTAACCCGGGGCGTCTGAACAAATTTTTCACCTCTATAAGATGCCCCGGCCTACGACAAAAGTAAAGCGACCCCGCGCGGGCGGTGCAGCTTTCGGGGTCAAATTCCCCATATTTGGGTTAGTGGAACCGAGATTATTCCTGTGCAGAAAATACTCTCGTCCACAGAACCTCCACGTTTTCTTCGATTCCGAGACCGCCGCTGCGGCTCTACATAAGCTAACCTTCCTGAACCTTGGCAGGGAATCTGCACCCGACCAAAAGGCCAACGAGACGGTCTGCACGCGGCCCGACCCTTCGCAAAGGGCGGACGAAACCAGCGCACCCGAACGGGTCAGCCCACAGAGTCGGGGCAAAACGGCCTCGGAACGGCAGGACGGAACGCTTATCCCGCCGAGCTCGAGCAGAAGCGAGCCAATCCAAGCAGCGCCCGACCGTAAGCTGCAAACCACAGAAAATGAGGAAGGCGCCAGTCTACCAAAACCGCCCGCGCAACCGCCGAACCCGGAATCGATCGCCCCAGAGTTTGAGCAAGACGAGAGCGAACCCGACTTAGTGTCGGACCCTCTCGTGAGAGGGAGCGCAGCGCAATTGCAGAATTGCTCCCACCAGTTCTTCATGGGGCTTCGAGTAAGGAGTGCGACCAATCCCGACGGAGAGCAGCTCCGGAAAGCCATGCGGGAGAACCTTAACTTGGCGCCGGGCCCCAGATCGGGCGAGGAGATGACGCAGGAACAGAAGGCGGAGATAGAGGACTGGCTCAAGAAGTCGGGGCGCACGCGTACGACCCGGACGAGTTTGTCGCCGGCAGTTTTGGGAGGCACCTCCCAGCTTGGGAAGAGATGCTGAAAGATTCCAAGAGGGAATCCTCGAAACGGGTCCTAAAAATGCTCCGGAATGGCGTCAAGCCGCAGTTCGTGGGAACGGACGAAGCGGACGCGAAAAAGCGGGAGCAGGTCGAGTCGATGCTCGCCCGGGCAGTGGGGACAGCAGAAGTGGACGCAATGTTGTCGGGTCAGGTTCCCCACCCGGTAGAGTTCGACAACCACCGGTCTTTCTACGATAACAGCGAGTTCGCCGTTGGGGAAGTGGTAAAAATGGTGGTCAACGGGACGCTCGAAGTTTACGGCCCCGGCGCCGGCAAACCGAAGGTGGTTAACCCGTTGGGGGTGGTTAACTTGCCGAAGGGGCGGCTGGTGGTTAACGCCCGATACGTTAACCTCTTCTCAAAACGCCAGGCGTTCAAGTACGAAACCCTGAGAGAGGTGCTCACCTTTCTCACAGAGCAGGGCTTCTTCACGACCTGGGACTTCAAGGCCGGATACTACCACCTCCTCATCCACCCGGCCTTCCGAAAGTACTTCGGCATCAAGGTTGGCGACGTGTACATGCACTACAACGGCATGTGCTTTGGGTGGTCGGAAGCCTGCTTCGTTTACACCCTGCTGACGCAGGAAGCGGCCAAGGAGCTGCGGCTGAGAAGCATCCCGATCTCGAGCTACCTCGACGACGGGCTAACGGGGACTAAGGATTTCTGG